TTCACGTATAAATCTACGATCGGAGTAGGCATCTGCTTATAAACGTGACCCTTTCTTTGTTTCGGTAAGGTTAGGAACTCTCTCGTGATTAACATAAAAGAGGCATTATTAATGAAGGATTTGTTTCAATGGTTTGATGATCTAAACTTATTAGTAGCAATTGAGTTTTATATAATTGCTCATAAATATTTAACGTAATAATTTACATTGAAAACACTGACTTCATCACGTTTGCCAATGTAATATTAGCACAAGTATTAATTCCATATTCCTGTTAGTTTGCAAATCAATGCGGTTCAACAACTTCTAGTTAAAATCAATAAGCCTGCAGGCTGTATGCGTTATAGAAGCTTAATTAATTACATGGCAAACATGCTTTCAGTCGATTGTTTAAAAGTGACGTAATACAGTCATTTATTCTTCATTTTTTTTTTTTTCAGTTTTTTCTAGATTGTCATAATAACTAATCCAATGTGATGATTACTCTTGGGTCACTCCTAAATTATTTCATCTTTTGCAAAGATTATTATGTAACAGAATTTTAATTATTTATTTTGTTCTTTTCCACTACTGTTCTATATTTATTGATAAAACATATCAGTAGATGAGTTGTGTCTATATTGTGTCTTACTTCTTTCATTAGCAAAAATGCCAATCAATTATGTGTTGGTTCTGGAAATCCTTACCAGGACACGCTTTATGATTTTGAAAAACACGCCGAATAAGTTTTTTATTTTATATGAAAATGTGGCACACGAGCTGGCGGTTCACCTGATGTTAAATGATAAAAGTCGCCCATTGACATTTACAACACTCATAGGATTGCATATGTTAAAAAAGTGTTTTTCTAGTGTCTGGGTGTTTATATATGTATAATATGTATTTATTTACAAAAGAAAAGTATGTTTAAGTATGTTTATCAGTTTTCTAGTACCCATAGTACAAGCTTTGCTTAGTTTGGGACTAGAAAAGTTGTGTAAAAATGTGTCCTAAAATATTTATTTACAAAAAACAATATTATTTAGAAAATATACGCAACTCTAAAACTTACATCAACCTGTAAAATAAAAAGAAATGAAGACATTTAGTGACAAGAAGTGATTCAATACAACAGGCTTCTTATCACTACATATTTTCATTACTTTTTAATTTGTACCTCCAATCCTTCTTAATCTGCTCTAAATCCATCTTTTGTTTCGGGTGCAGTATTCAAAATAATACTCCTGGATTTACAGAAAGCACAGACAACCTACCCTAAATAACCCTACTAAAGCTGGTGTTCCATAAACCAGAGCTTCAAATCTTTAGATAATAGTATGATAGTCAATCACCATACGATTTAAACAACGCTAATACAAGAATAGAATTTCAACTTTATAAATTCTTCCACTTAAACTAAGCGTAACTGCTGACAGCGTAAATAAACCCAATTAAAATTTGGGCATGATTAGTCAGGTTAAAAGATTTCATGTTTTATATATCCCATGGAAGATTTTTATGGAAGAAGACACTGTTGGCTAAAATTAAGATTCCATGAATTTTAACGATAATTAGATTTAATATCTGTAGGCTTGTGATCAGTTTTATTCATTGAAGTAAAACATGAAGTAATATTTATTGAAAAAAAAATGTGAAGATCATAAAGAAATTAACATTTTTACAATATTAATTAATACATAATTCAATAATGTATTAGCCTTGTCCGACCTTACCAAGGCTGATTGGGTTGGCGTTGCTTGCATTCTGAATACATAGGTAACATATTATATTTCGCACGAATTACAAAGTTATTACTTTTTTGATTTATACCATTTAACTTTAAACCATTCAGGGTCTAGACTGCGTGATTCAATGATTACTAGGCATGACTGTTTTGCGACGTTAAATACATTTTAAATTTTATTACAGATATGTGGGCGATCGCTTTCGAAATGTTACATGAAACGACTACTACGAACATTATTATTATTTCAGAATTCTTTAAAGCGTCGCCAATATACACTGTAGTTTAAATATGAAAATAAAAAAATTATGCACGGTTTTAATGAACGCCTATTAAAGTTATAATGTCCATTCATAAAGTGCTAAGATACTCTCAGACTTGTTATATATTTAATAATTAAATACCTTCTTTACCTCATTCAATATAACTTAACCTACTGGAGGAAAAACAGCTTTTGTTTATGAAAATCTCTTTCAATATATAATAATTTCACGTCATTAATACATTTAAATAAAACTTACAGCGTTAATTTAAAAAAAAATTATATCATTTAACTCTAACTTGCGTGCATATTACAGCCATTAACACCGTTAATTTAATTAAACGAAAAGGCGAGGTGACGAGATTAATTCTGAAGCAACTTTGCTATTTTCATAATTTCCCAAGGCAGTGACAAAAAATAACCGCTGACCTTGCCCCAAGCCCTATGCTCGTACGTACTTATTAGATACGTGTTATGGTTTAGAAAAGCTGACGATGCGGCATTTTCTTTCTGCCTACCAATTTCGCTGTGATTTGTACTCGTTTTGTATGTATCTACATGCACTGTGTCATACTTAAAAGCAATGCTATCTTATAACTTACGTTTATTAGAAACATAATAAGTTATTGAACATGATTACCATTGGTAGGGCTACGCAACAGTGTTCATTGTTCCACGAACGGGCAGGTCCGTCCGGGTAAGTACCACGACCTCACAAGACCGGCGTGAAGTTGAAGTGTTACACTTCCGCGTTTCGTCTGTTGAGTGAGGTAGTAGGGGACCACTTTATTAGAAGGTGGCAACGCATCTGCACCGCTACGGGTGTTGGAAATGTGCATGAGCGACGGTTATCACTTAATATCAGGTAAAACGCCAACTTGTTTGCCACTTTCTCACAAAAAAAATGTACAATGTCATTCATATAGTTAAAGTAACATTGATTCTAATACATAGAGTAGAATAATAGAGTAGAGTAGAATATACTGTATTGCACACAAGGGAATACATATAAATAAAATACAGGAAACATAGTGTAAATACAGGTGGCCTTATTGCTAAGGTAGCAATTTCTTCCAGGCAAATAGAAAAAGTACAACAAATACTTATTAATAAATGTTAAAGTAGCAATGACATCAAAAGCTCAGTGGAAAATGGAGTGAATCAGGGAAAGGAGACAGGCTTTCAGATGTTTAGAAAGAGCTAATTGCCCGAAAGGTATAATTGGTTTAAATAGCGATACAAGTTATTCAGGGAGGTTTATTGACGCTGTCATAAATGATCTCCCAATGAGGAAAAACATTAGGGACAAAGGAGTGATAAAAGACGTAATATAGTTTCCATTGTGCCAAACATTCCGGAAATGACATTCTTACGGCAGCCAGAAATCGGTAACTATACTAATACCTGCCTTATTATTTCTAATATTTCCCTTTATGAATACATGTTTAAATATAATATGGCTCATATTCATATTTTTAGTCATAAGAAATTGAACTTGTAGGGTTATTACTTAGAATACTTGCAAAAAATTTATCACAAAAATGTTTCTACAAATTTGCAGATAAAGCAATAATAATGAGTTTGAGCAAATATCGAATTAAATGTGTTTCTTTTACCTTAACTAATATGTGTGGAACAAATATTCACTGGTGACAATTAGCGAATGGTCTTCGACTTAGTCATAGATTTGAAGTGAAATTTGTAACGGCCAAGCTTAGTAGACAGTTTCGAGAGAACCGTCCCTGTTGAGTTGACACCGTACCTAAAGTAAAATAAAGGATTCATTTAGATGTGGAACTTTTTACTCGAATACGGCGAATGGTAAATTTTAACTAATAAGAGTGTCTGCATGTTCACCTGTTCCCTTATAAGTCCTAAAATACTCATGATAATTTGATATGTGTTGTTATCGCTGGAAGCATCTTGACCGTCCTCTAGTAATAGGCTATGTTACGTTCATTAAACTGAATATGGCACTCTGAAGACTGTAAAATCAGTAACTTAAATATATAATGATGCCGTGTTGGTTATCAAATGTACGGTTTTTATGATTATTTATTATAAATTCATATTTTATTAATTTTGAATGCGTGAAAATGTATTTAAACTAAATATACATTTTCGCGAGGATGGGTGAATCTTTGTGCTTTGTCATAGTGCACACTTACTAAATTACCTTATTACCTTCGATTACTCAATTACCTTCGATTCCAACTTCTCCATCCATCATCCATTCGATGTTTTCAAATCTAAATCGCAGAACACTTTGAAAAAGAACAAGCACATTTTAGATTTTTTTGTTTGTATGTATGTATGTATATATAATTTTTTTCGATAAACATCTTGCTTAAAAGCCTTAGCAGGCCAAGGTTACCGAGCTCCGATAAAGTAATAGAAAAACATTAAAAATAACCACTAAGATTGCATTTTTATAAGATAATGTTATCTAATGTATTACATTAGGTAACATTACCTGTATGTGTATAATGCTGTGATGTGTATAATGCTAAGTTCAGTCCAACTTCTGCTACATTATTCTAAGGCCTCCCCTTTAGTCCGAATGATTAATGTCTCAGCGGAGGACACTACACAATTCTACCCAATTGAGGAACACGGGTTGTTTAGGCAACCTACGGCAGCAAAGAACAATAGCTCACAGGAGCCCTTTATTTAGGTCGAATACTCTGAAATTTGGCAATGCTCCATGAGGAGAACAATATAGAAAAAAATATTATGAGTAAGTATAATATAACTGCGCGCTATAATAACTAGGTCAGATATAAATGTATGATTGTATCCGACAATAGATTACTTGTTTACTTAACTCTAGCCATCCATTGTTCATATGTCGTGAAAGAAAATAAAAACAAAACGGTGAAATAAAGAACCACACGTGGACACCGAACTTAAAGGAAAACATTGGCAGGATAGTAAAATAAATGAAAATTCTTTTCGAAAAATGAAAAAAAAAATATTTTTCAAAATTATTTTTTTTAATTAACTTTAACTTTATTAGTTCGGGACTGACTTGTGCGATCCCAACACACGAGCCGGCCAAGACGATTCAATCGAACCGGTGCGGATCGAGCCGCGTGCGGTGCTCGGATAAAAAAACCGGGCCGAAGATAAAGCGGCAGCGTATCGTAAATCAGTACGGGTCGGCGGATTGAAACGTCGCGGCGTCGGGCGGGCGGGCGGCGGGGCGGGCGGCGCGTGCGCGGCGGTGCGGGGCGGGCGGCGCAGCCTCCCGGTGCAGCACTCCGCCGCCGCCCGCCGCCCGCATCGATCCCGCCCGGGCCAGCACAGCGCGACCCGGTCTGCTCGCGCTCCGCTCGACGCGCCCCGGCACGCGCTCGCGCCCGCTCCCGCCCGCCCCAGGTCCCACCCCCGCCACATCTCACCAGCGTAGCCAGTGCAGGTCGGCGCTTACGTAACGCTACGTTCCGTCCGTGACGGGTTCATTGAGAGTGGCGGTCCCCCGACAGGCCAGTATCACTAGTTTAATCATAATCCGCTAACGCAATTTCGTAGTGGTCGAAAACCAATTTTCATCTCAATGTACTTCGGCGCGATGTTACAAAGCAGGTCTACGTCCGTAGACACTGCTACGCGTGAACATAACCTATGTTCAGATGTATCTTCCCGCCGTTATTCCATAAGTCGCATACGAATAGCGATCTTGTGCTTTAAGATTTAAAGTCGAAAAATCTTGGACATAAATAAAATTTCAAAACTTTGGCGCGGCGAAGTACTTAAATTTTATCTTTTATCGTGAAGCTTAATTTTAACATCGGTTTTCGTTTTATTTAAGTAATCACACTTCATGAAAATTTCATTTATATTTTTTTCTTACGTACGGAATATTTTATTTCAACATTACACCATATTCATACCTTAATTTCGTTTAACTTAATATTATATTACTACTAAAATTTATTTCTATGAAACAAAGAGCACATTCGTGCCGTGTGATTTTGTTCTATGCTTGTAATCAAATATACTTGTTTAATCAAATAAGCTTTGATTGTGTAAATACTTTCAAAAAGTGAAATTAAATCTTTATTTAAATATTTACCAAAAAATATATGCATAATTAGCATAATTTTTAACACACGCCTCCAATAAATTATATAAAATATGGATATGAAAGCCTTAGCTAAGCTAAGTTTGTATTACAATTTTTTGACATTGATTTTCGTTCCACTTCGTTTTAAACAAGAAAACGATTTGAAACTTAAAATTATAAATGAATAAATAAATTCATAATTCTACTCAAACGTGTCCGAACTATTCACATTATACATTCGTAACATAATTATGCTTCAAGATGACCACAAGAGCAAATGTTTGTTCAAACCACGAGTGCATAATATGTTGTATCACTAATTAACACCAATTAAGCGATTCCGAGCACTCATTAACTGTTTAGTTTTTAGCAATTATTGACCGTTGTCTTTATACACCGCATGATTAGCGGTCGAGTTAGCTCGAGGCGTTAGCTAAACGTGATCGTTATCGATTAAAAGATCACGCACTAGAAAACACATAATAGAAGACCAACATTGTCATCTACAAGCGAACTAAATAGGCGTAGTGAGTTCGCAGAGCAGCCGCGAATCACATTCCAAACAAACAGCCGCCACAACGCATCCGCCTTCTACGGCGAACTTTAGTTGTTTTTTGGTATTTTTATGAGTAATAGTCAATAAGGTGTCGGCCGGTTGTTTGCAAATGGAATTCATATACGATCACTCATCGTTCACCGTCCATCAAAATAGTTCAAGTGGCCCGTCGGGGCGGACGAGTTCGCCGCTTTAACTCCATGATCTTTTCGAATCCGAAACCAGTAATGAGAGGCGGCGTCGTCGCTTAATCTGGAGTGTTTTCGGCCAGTGCTCTGAGCATGTCCACGGAGAAGGAGAAAATGGCGGCCGCCGATGCGAAGTCGCCGTCGAAGAGCAACTGCGCCTCGCCAGGAAAGAAAGGTACCATTGATAGACTAAGCACATAATGCCACGAGAATCTCCGGCTTATGTTACAAACCTTAGTTTCATTTCCAACGGATAATTTAGTCTTAATAATCCGTTGGCAATTATGCACAGTATGTTAACTTGTCTGACGACAACAACTTTTCCTTCGTTGTAACTTTGTATTTTGCAAAATAAATATTTCAACCATCATCCTTATACAACAATGTTTCATTTAACGCATTGTTAAATTCCTGGCGCGTCGAAATCATTATAACGTTCTTTGTCACGAGACAGATTAGAAGTGTGCTAGAAACGTCGAAAATTACGTCTAAATTTAAAAATAAAAATAAAAAGCTATAAAAACCGTTATATAATTAAACCATTCGTAGTATTCATGTAAATACATCAGAACATTATAAAACTACTAGCTTCTTGCTGCCCGCGACTACGCCTGCGTAGAATAGGCTGAAGGCGTAATATTCAGACAGAAAAACAGATATTCATAAAATATGCATATAAATTATAGCCTATGTCTTATTCTGATGTTTAAGCTATATTATTGTAAAGTTTCATTAAAATCAAAAAAAATAACAAACCTCCATCCATACAAACAAACATTTGCCTTTATAATGTTAGTAAGGAAAGGATTTTACGCCGAAATTGCTTTAAACGTTTTCATTGTTTTTAACGTTACCAGTTGTTTTACAGAAAAGCTCATAAACCATTTACTGATTCCTTTGGATATTAATTGTTAAACTTTTCTACAGGTTATTTATTTTATAAAGGTCAATATTATACAAGTAGATCCGTAACACGTTACCGGTCAAAAACTATAAACACTATAAAAATATCGTATCATATGCACAACTTACACGTCATACGTAAACGCTTAATTTGGACGATAAAAGAACTGTCCAGTTGCGCGTGCAACCGCTTAGGCGGTGGCAAAAGTATTATTCAAATATTTACCCACTTAGCCTTCAACTAACTGCAGCAGGACAAGGTGAAGGGAAGAAAACACGGAAATAAACCATTAAGCAGTCGATGTCGGGCTTCGTACCTTCGCGCCGTGTGCAAATCCGTTGGATCCCGTTAACCACGATACGGATTAATGTCACATCGTTCATCGACGTTCTTAGTTACTGGCAACATTAACTGCTGCCATGGTGCACGACGAGTTACTTTTGAAAACAGATGAGAGAAGCCCTAGACTGCCAGAAACTGCCTAAGAATACCTTAATGACACGGTTAACGGCTAACATGTTAGCAGACTTAACCTTTGTATCACTTGACTTAAGACGTTACTTGTATTTTGACCATTGAATTATTTTCTTAGTAATTACGATCTTTTTTAAAATGAGACGTGATAGGTCCTTTATTTTCCTTTAATTTTGTACATTTGAGCAACTCGAGTTCAAATTCAGGCGCCAGCAACAATGAACTGTTAATAGCAATTTTAAGTGTCAACATATGTGATATCAGCGGGGAAGGGAAACATCGTGAGGATATCTGTACATTATATGCACTAACTTGTTTTTCTCTAAATGCTTATAAATTCTTAAGTTTGGAAAATAATAGTAATATATTTTTCAGAATGTCCACCCCATTCCAACCGTCTGCTTGCTGTTTCCGTTCTAAAGACTTCATTAGTTTTGTCAGATTGTCGTGTTTTTTTTTATTTCTTCGTTCAAAACACCAAATGGAATCCATCTGGCCTTAATTCCTAATGGTTGTTCAAAAGAGATTACTTAAAACGACTTCTCTCAAATTGGGAAAACTTGACTTGGAAAATTTCCACTTTACCGTTTTACTGGAGATTTGAATATTATATTTCCCTGAGTGGTCCCTACTGCTACACTACATTTTTTTTTTTTTTCAATTTAATTTAAATAATTTTTATTTTTAATTTAAATAATTTTTAATTTATTCTTATATAAGTTTTAAATATTTTTATTTTGATAATAACACGAGCTTTAAAAATATAATTTCGTTATTCCACTTTAAAATGACTGGCATCTCGGTCCACTGCGTGTTCGTATTTTCTTTCAGAAAATATAATACAATAACCACGTGTGTTATTATTAAAACACGATGATATATTAAATATATTTCTTCTTCTTCTTCTTCTTCTTTTTCTTCAGCGTGTGTTCGCCTACCGTTGGGCCTACGCCTCTCCAATCTTTCATCCATTCGGCACGACTCTTTATTTACCTTGTCCGGACTGGGACTGCTGTCTCCTTAATGTCATCGGACCATCGGGCTGGTGGTCTGCCAACACTTCTCCAGCCTAGCCGGGGTCTCCACTCCAAAACGCGCTTGCTCCAACGTTCCTCTTTTTTTTTTCGGAACATGTGTCCCACGTCGACCACTTTCATTCCACGTCTGATGAGCTCATTCCGGACTCGGTCATTGAACATTATGCCGCGCACGCCCCATGTTGCGCTGCGTCACCTTGAGCTTTTTGATCAACACAGCAGTTAGTGTCCATGTCTCGCACCCATATATCATAGCCGGAAGAACGCATTGGTTAAACACTTTCTTTTAAGTGATTAAGCACGCAATTCAGCTTCCCAAAGGCTGCCCACCCCAACATTATACTTCGCCTCATCTCTGCCATCATCGAGTCCCGACCAAACCTTATTACCTGTCTTAGGTAAGTGTAACTAGTTATGGATTCCCTGCCACTGGATGGGGGAAGTGGCAGGGGTATGTGGGAATCCCGTAAAAACGGGTACCCACTAAAAACACACGTTGCTGCTGTCACTGTCGCATCAACCGGGGACACGGGATCATGTGGATGCAATCTTCCGCGACCCCGGCGTGACTATAACCTTTTAGATTTCTCTACTGTATATGGTGCTGTGCCGGTGCAATTGACTCAGCACACGTCACGAGCCCAATATTGAGCGACAAACACCCCCATGCCTGCCGCTCAAGGTCTCACTATAGGGAGAAGGAAGACGCGTAGGCCGGCCTCCTGCACCCTAGTCTCCAGCGGCGAATATCCAGGGTGACAGTTGCTTCTCTTTCTCCCTCCGCGGCCTCCTTCCGGGTGATAACGTCCTCGCATATCGCGAGGACGTTATCGCGACCCACCAATGGTAGCGAGAGGTATACGCACGATAGCGCACAGCTCTCGGCGCTATTCCGTTCAGGCTGGGCACTCTTCCAGCCACACTAACACACAGCACTAACGGCCATGGGACGCCCCTCCTTCCGGATGAGGACGGGGCTGCCTGTCTTCCACCCCTGTGGAATTTTGGAAGTGTACTCCTACACCTGCTCCAGTGGTCGCCCGTTCAATGAAACAGGGTCCGGTGTGAGATCGAATGTCGCCATAGCCTTGGTCTTCTCCATATTCATCTTAAGGCCTATGCGCTTGAAATAGTTGCTCCAGCATGTTCAGCAATTAAGACTATATCATCAGCGTAGCGCAAGTGACTGAGATATATTTATGCTGTTGAATATATATTATCACTCTTAGAAATAATTTTCAACTAATTACAATGAAGCGCTTTAATGCCTTTTATTGACTTATGTGGAGTTCTCAGAGCATTTTGGAACAAAACGTTCACCAACATTTCGTTTTGACGTTTCTCTGGTATCATGGTAATGCACGGGCTTGTCTGTTCGTGAAAAGTTCTGTTGCAGAGCTCTATACTTCTTATTAAATAATTTAGGATTTTATCGTCTCAATATGGACCGCCGATCAATAATGATCAACGAAACAAGCACAACTTTAATCGTCGATTGTATAAACGTCAATTTCACGAAAGCGATATGGTAGTGCCTTAAAAAGTTTTTAGCATTACTACTATTTTCACCTATAGGAAGGGACACACTATTTAGGTAATACGTCTTAACGGGTTATTATTCAATATGGAAATCTTTTAAATAGTTGTCGAATGAGATACATTTCTCAGAAATATATAACCTTTGTTTAAACTCTAAAACCATTAATATACTCACATTTGACAATAGGCAGGTTACGCTTTTCGAATGCGACAAAAGGGGCATATCATGTTTCAGCCGAAAAGACCTTTGTGCTATTAAGTTGGGGCTTATACGGAATGTGTGCCGGGCTTGCTGTGAAACAGTTTCAATTAACCATATATACCTACTCGTACTAGCGGTAAGAACTAAGCCGGCGAAGCCACAGCAGTGTACGGCGTTTAGCCAGGGCCATAAACCGAGCCACGGTTTCAAGGGCGTTAATATGTAAATAGTTCGCCCGACCGCCCAACGTTAACAACCACCCAACTCGCTGAATACTTTCTTTAAATTTAAACTGTGCTATGTCCTCACTTAGAAAAATAATGTCTCTTTTAAACTGGTCGTACATTGTATGGAGTGGGCTATGCTCGGTATTTCTGTGCGTGATAGAGTCCGCAATGAAGACATCCGCAGTAGAACGAACACCACCAACGTAGCTTATTATTTTTGCATTACATCCGATAAGTAAGGTAACCAAATTACGCTCACTTAAAAGGTTCGCAAAGTACTTGTTAAAAATTTATCTGGATTTAAGGTTTCAATAATTACATACGGTAAGGTCAATCTCTCGCCCGTCTTAAGAACTCTCTAAAGAAACTTTTTCCTAACCATATCCGGTCTAAATTTTATACAGATCTGAGTTATTCCAAAATACATATCAGGGAATATAAAATACATCCGTCTATGTTTCTTCAACACAAAGCTATTCAATCGTTCTAAATAAAAATAAAAAACCTGTGACACTCGGAGACTGCCGTGGTAAAGCTATTTATTGCATAGCATATTTTATCAACTTATGCAATTATAATTTTTTATGCTATTTTTTTTTCGGCGAGATTTATATTTATATTAATAAGTAATAAATAGTAATATTAATATATATTATAATTAATTCTATATAATTTATATATATTATTTTAAATTTAAAAATGATAAGAACTACTAATTCAGTCACTAAGCTGTTTGGATAGTTAAATTAAAATATACTAACATTTTTAAACTTGTGATATCTTTCGAATGGA